AACATGTATTTGGTAAAAAAAATAAATTAAATGGTTTTTTTTTAACGTATTGTGCTTTTGAAGTGATATATACATATATCCAAATTAAGTGCAAAAACTTAAAACTTTAAAACTTAAAACCAACGTCACTGTAAGTAGTCAATCCAATATTTGTAATGTTTTTCAAAGTTTTGTATTTTTTCCAAGTGTAGCACCGTAGAAAGAGACTCAACAAAAAATGCTCACCCAAAACAAGCTTCGCAGTTATCCTAACGTGCTCATTTGAGTGGAATCACTTAATGGTTTTATGCGCTTATCATTATCCTCCCAGAAGCGAAGCCTGCAAAACGGATAGCAAATGCCCAGGACCTCGTCGGAAAAAAGACGGAGACAGCCGGGAGGGGGCAGGACAACGAGTACTCGTCACCGCAGTTGATTCAATCAAAATTTTGTCCCGGCGAAGAAAGAAGGAGCAGCCCGCGGACATTTTTATCTGGCGGATGTTTGGCTCGCTGTCAGCGCTAAAAATGTGTGTGCTTCGTCATTGTTTCAATGCGTACATGTGCGAACAGCCCCGCCCCATCTTCGAAACACACTGCGAGTTCTGCGCCTAATGTTTCACTTTTTGGAGCGTAACGGAGAAAGGTGAAAGGTCCCGGGCATAGCCCACAAATAAGGAAGTAATATGTCGCCGCCATGGTCATCAAATCCAGACGGGGGTTCATCCTGGTGAGGGAAAGTAGTATGGTGGTTGGTCCTGGGTTTGAATGAGTGGCGGGATACAAAAATCATGATGCACTGAATAAAATATCGAGTAAATTCTTTAAATTTTATTTACAAAGCATATCGTAATAACATAAGTAGTTTATTTTCTTTCTTTCCATGAAAAGCTAAGGTATACCATTTTATGGACGAAAGATTAAGAGAACAGTAGATATTGCATGGTCCATTTCGATAAGTACATATATATATATATTTGTTATATAAAAGCATAGAACGCAACATTAGCGTGATAAATTAATTCTATTAGAATGGTATAATCTGTTCGAGTAAAGTTCTAGACTTAGCATTTGGTTTTCTATCCAAAGTAAAGATGGATCTTCGAAATAATTGGATTTTCCTATTCACTTTTGCTGCAAATCAGTTTTTTTCGTTATCACACGGACAGGATATGAGCCAAACAAGAGGCTGGCCAGAACCTAATGACTCCAAATATACGAAAATTATTATGGAGAATTATAAATTTCTTCATGCCACTTCCCACACGGAAGTAATAAATAATGGCTATAGAATTAACGCCGTTAGATTTTGGGATATATGGAAAAATGGTGCACAAATAACAATGGACAAGGAGCCACCTTTTTATAGCGGCAGGTTCACAATTACAGCCCAGGGTCGCCGCGGATTTAAATTCAGAATGGAGGTATTTTTTGATAGAAATAGACGCAAACCATGATTTGATCTGGTTTAGTACAATTTTGATCTAATAATGTAGTTATTTACTAAAAATAAAGATCGAGTCCATAACTCATTGGATCCTAAAATGTATTCTTCTGTGTTGTCATGTTTTCAGAGAGTCGCAGGGAAAGAATATGATCTAAATAAGGAACCGGCCTTAGAAAAGGAATGTGTGTATAGAAAGACCATTAGAAAAGAGTATAAATAATAACAAATTTGAAAAAAACACACACACAATACCATAAAGTTTAAAATGTATTCCAATCTGAATTCCTTTATAATCTCTCTATATATCCGTATTGTAAAGATAATATGTTGAAATATAATATATTGTATTTGATTGATAGCCTTTTATAGGATCTTGTATAAAAATATTTTAACTTCGTCTAAAAAATAATATTGCTAGTGAGATAAGGGAAAATACTTTCTAACATTTCAATGGAATTTAAAAACTATAGTATTGTTGAAAGAACACTAAGAGTTTTATATAACTTTTAGTTAGATAATTGAAACTAATTCTTACCTTGTTAAATTCATAAGAATGATTTGCTCCGGTTGAGTTAGATTGTATTTAAGATTCATTTCATATTCACAGTTCTTCAATAATGATGAAGATGAGGACACATTGGATCTTATTCTTTGTTCTCATTAATTGTCAACTGTTTTGTAAATCATACGGACAGGATCAGAGCCAAACAAGGGGCTGGCCACAACCTAATGACTCCGTATATACCAAAGAAATTGAAGGGGAAGGTAAATTGTTTCAGGTCCTTACCACCAAGGAACAAATAGATTTTCCCTATAGAGTTAACGCCGTAAGATTTTGGGATATTTGGAAAAATGGTGCTACTATCGATATGGTCCCAATGGAGCCACCATTTTTTCATGCCACGGTTACAATAACAACCAAGGAAAACCGCGGATTTAAATTTAGAATGGAAATTTTTTATGATACAACCAAACCTGACAATTCGTCATCGGCAGTAAAAAGATTTGTTGTGGGTTGAGTAAAATTTTCACCTAATAAAGAAGTTATTTACTAAAAATAGAGATAGAACCCTACAACATTGGATCTTAAAATTTGCTTGGGTTTTATCAAGTTTTAAGTGAGTTACAGGGAAAGGATATGAACCATGCAAGGCTCTGACCAAAGAAAGGAGTGTATAGAAAGAGCATTGTAAAGGAGTATAATTTATTTTTAATTCTTAGCAGTACATAAAGGGTAATTTCAGAATTTTAAATTAATGCTATTAGGTTTAAACATGCATGAAAAAATAGAGCAGACACTTAAGTTGACAAGGAATCACTCTCTTCGGAGTTAAGTGTTTACGATGACATCTTGTTATGCTATCAAATGTTACTATGCTATCTTATATGAATATAATATAACTTTATTAAAAATATCGAATTTAAAACCTGAAATCGATAGAACAGTAAATATTTTATATAAACTTTAGTTAGATAATTGGAACTAATCTTGCGCTTATTAAATTGCGATTGATTTGCTCCAGTTGAGTTTAGATTAGATTTGGTTAGCTGATTTAGAATTTATTTCATATTCACAGTTCTTCCATAATGATGGAGCTACGGACACATTGGATCTTGTTGTTCATTCTTGTTGGTTGTCAACCGTTTTGTAAATCATACGGGCAGGATATGAGCCAAACAAGGGGTTGGCCAAAAGCATTTGATACCATATACAGAAAGGTTATTCAACAGGAGTACCGTTTATTTCAAGTTGTTACCCATACGGAAACTGTCAAGTTTGATTATGTAATTAACGCCATTAGGTTTTGGGATGTCTGGAAAAATGGTGCTTGGATTTGGATGAAAGGAGAACCGCCTTTCCGACAAACAGTGTACACGGTTACATCTAGAAACACCCGCGGATTTAGGTTCAATGTGGAGATTTTTTACGATTTAAGAACGTTTCAAGTACCTCCTAATTATAATCAAAATTATCGTCCTGGATATGGATGGAGTGGATGAACTTCCGAAAAAGCAGAGTTGATATGATTGAAACAAACATTTTATGTCAAGAGCAATTAAAGCAATAATTACCAAACACAACAGAGTTATTCATTTACATAAAACGGTCGTTATTATTTTTAAAAAACTGCAACGTTTGAAGGATTTTCCAAATTTTCTCTAAAATTTTTAGTTTTTCCGAAACTATACTAAGTGTAACTGATAAAAGAATAAATATTTTATAAAAATGTTAGTTACATAATTGGAACCAAACATTGACTTGTTAATTTTATTAAAATGATTGGTTCCGGTTGAGTTTGGGCTTAGAATTCATTTATTATTCACAGTTCTTTAATAATGATGCAGCTGCGGACATATTGGATTTTGTTTTTTCTTGTTGATTGTCAACTGTTTTGTAAATCATACGGTCAGGATATGAGCCAAACAAGGGGATGGCCAAAACCATCTGACACCATATTCAGAAAGGTTATTCGAGTGGACTACCAATTATTTCAAATCGTTACGCATACCGAAACTGTCAGATTTGATTATACAATAAACGCCATTAGGTTTTGGGATGTCTGGAAAAATGGTGCTTCGATTTGGATGAATGCAGAACCACCTTTCCGAAATACACTGTTCACGATTACATCGGCATTTAGTCGCGGATTTAGGTTCAATATGGAGATTTTTTACGATAGGAGAACGTACCAAGCATCAAGATTTTAATCAATATAATGGATTTAATGGATAAACTTTGGAAAAACACAGTTGAAATTATTGAAACAAACTTTTTATGTAAAGAAAATTTTAAGCAAATAAAGCAATAATTATGGAACAAATCAGAGTCATACATTTATATAAAACGGTCCTTATTATTTAAAAAACACGAGGAAAAAGAAAGGCTTTTCCGTTTTTTCCCTATGGAACTCGTTTTTTGGAAACTATTCTGGACAGACAATAAAATTAATAGTTTATCATATAAGCGGCTGGCTTTTTCTGCCAAATCTCTGGGTCTAATCGGACCTAAAATTTCCTCTTTTTCAACAATTAATTTTGATGAAGAATCTGTATATTATATCGATGGTTCTCCGCTGGTCTATAAATTAAATCGCAGTTATCATTTGTCGGCTAGCTAGCTGCACGACGTATATTAAATTCGGTTCAATTATATTTATTGATGAATATTTCATCCTCTCCTTATTTTGCCAAATCAATCAGCAGCAGCTAATAAAACACGCTATGCCCGTTCTATTATCTGTAATGATATGCTAAAAAACTCGGAAAATATTCTATTCATATCATATTTTATTATTAATCCTCTTAGTGCGGAACGGGCAAGGTAGATTATAATGTCATACTTTCTATAATCATTATTTTATATATAAAAAAAGGTATACGGTTTCAAGCTTTAGAATCTGATGTTTAGATATAGTAAAATGTCAGATCTATCAATTATGATAAATAAAAAACAGAAAACTTTAGATTCAGTTTTAAACTTTTAAATTGGTTTATTTTTTTAGCCAAATCGTATTAAAACGTAGACTTCATGGAAGGATTGTAAATGTAAGTTACATTTATTACTATATTTTTTTTATATTTGACGAAAAGTAATTCCTAGATCCTTTATCTCTCCAATAGATGCCTATACTCGCACAAGATTTGCTCTTCTTGAATAAGCGGTAGATCCAAGTACTCCAGATGATTACCCGACAAGTCCTCATGAAATCTCTTAAAGGCGGTATACGACTCCATTTCTAATTTTGCCTTTGCCAAAACCGAGCGGATTAAAGCCAACATATCACTCGACAAGTTAACAGCTGGAATGGAGGAATTGGTGGTCGGTCTGTTGGATCCAGAAGGAGCATTATCTTCTACCATCCTTTTCATGGCGGAAATTACTCTGAGTAATTCCTCTTTGTTGCCAAAACTCTTGAGTAAGAATTCCACAGACTTGTGGAAATCATTGCCAGTGGTTTCCAGGGCAGCCCTAGCGGATTGTAGATTGAAGCCAAGTTGCTGAAGGGTAGAAAGCAGAGCCTCATCCGCCACAGGAGGGGTTGGCAAATTGGATCTGAGATCATTGGAATGACGCTGAAGGAGTTCCAGGCTTTGCTCGAGATCATTTTGGGTACGTCGCAACGCCTCGACCACTAACACCCCTTCGAAGCCCATTTCCATCAGGCGGCAAACGCTTCTGGGATCCACCCAGTCTCGCCCAGCATTAGCCTCTCTCATTTGTTGGTTTACTTTTCTGGCTGGAGCAGAATTGCGGCGTTCGGCCTTCAGTTTTTCTTTGCGTTCTTGGATAAACTCTACGGCCCTATCCACGTTTCCGGCAGTTGATCGCAGAGCCAATCTAGCATCGCTTTCCTCGAAGCCCATTTCCAGCAGTGCTGAAAGCTGATCATCGTTAACTTTTAATTCCTCCAAAGCCCGGGAAGCTTCCTCCAGCTTCTCGTAAGCCTCGTCCCTTCGATTTTGGTGAAAAAGAAGGACACCTTGGAGAAGGTGCAACCTCATGATTAAGGCTCGTTCAGGGCAACTCGAGCCCCGGATGGAGTACAATCGATCGAATTGATCGCCATAGCTGCGACGAAAATTTTTCTCGCAAATATCCAAACGTCGCTGGGCATCAGGAAGTTGGGTGATGTTCTTGAGACAAAGGTAACACCACACAATGTCTAGGTTCAAAAGGGCGTAGTTGTCCACAGCGTCCAAGAATTTTGAGTCACAGTGTGAGAATAGGGCATCGGCCTCCAGGAGGAGCAGTAAGGCCTCATCGAATTGCTCCCTACGCATGGCAGCTCTGGCCTTCTCGCAAAGTCCCATGGCCATCAAAAGTGAACGATTCTCATCTGGTGGCAAGAAAATGGGTCGTCCATCTTGGTCTTCCATTTCCATGAATCGGTCATCAGCAGAAGCAATAACCTCCACATCGGCCCTGATGCGCTGGATGCGCTCGTGAAGATCCTCACCTTGCTGTTGTACACCAACGACGACCATGAGCTGCTGGTTGTTTTTAACGCCTTGGCTGGCCAGAGGCTTGAGACCGTCAATAATGCGTCCTCCGCATATGCACTTTATGTGAGTGTAGTCGCTAATGTTCAGCTTTTTGGCCACATCCTTTTGCAAATCTGACCCCAGACCGTTCAATGGGCACTTGATGTCCAGCATCTGGGCGGTGCCGCCTTTGCTGTCCACGCACCTCACTTTGAATGTAGCCATTCCCGTTTCATTGAACTCGTTGCGGGCGGCCAGTTTTCTCAAGGCGCCATCCTGCAATTCAGTTAGAGCACACTTGCAATTGGAAATGCTGATTCCGAGGTCACCGCACAAATCCCCAGCCAGGCGATCCATTTCCGACTCAATACTGCCAACTCCCTCGAAGTAGTACGGCTCCTCCCACAACTTGATGTTACGCTCACGAAGACGAGCTCGCAGCTTGATGAACGTATTGTCTATCTGGGACATTTTCCGTTTCCAATTGGCTTGACTGCTTCGAATACTGACAAATTTTGTAGCTTTTTGTACAGCTTAAACTTTTCTGGCGTGTTTGTCAGAGATGTACATTCAAAGGCGTCGATATCTTTTTCGATTAGCTTTCAATTAAGTACTAAATTATCGAAAAACAAAATGGCAATATCTTTGATCTAAAATAATCTAAATTAGATTTTATAAAAATATTCCTTTGCCAGTGTAAAAATCTGATAATGGTATTAAGTACTACTTGAAACAGTACAGTGAACCTGATTACCTTAAACCTGACAGATAAGTTATTTGTTTTAATTGTCTTGAGTTATTTGATTACTTTTGAAATTTTATCAGTCAAATGAAAGTACTTGATGTCTAGTGTTGTATATTGTTTTTGAAAGAAAATAAAATATTTTCAGAAATAAAATTTTTACAAAAATTGTAGTTTTTATTATTCCTTCACATATGTATTTATTTTTTACATTGAATCAATGCAGACATTGATGTTGGGAAGGAAAGAGTTAAATGACACTTTGACATTGTTGGTGGCACTCACAAAACACTCACTGGTGTCGGCAGGCAATTTGGCAATCAACTTCAGGGTTTTATTAATCTGCCTGGTCAACTTCATTGTGGCCTTAAACAAGTTCCAAAAGCATTTGCATGAGTTTTTGGCGGTAGAGCTGGAGGAGTCATCTGCGGCACATAGCTTAGATCGAAGGTGTATAATGTCGTTGCAGATGCTGATGATCTTCTTCACGGAGGCCACAATTTTGGCCACATCCTTGGGAATAGCTGTGCCGCAGTCATCGATCGCATCCACGTACGTGGTGCAGGAACTGAGAATCTCCACCACCTCCTTGATGATGCAGTTGGTGCCACGAACTGTTTTGAGAGCTTTTCTAAGAACCTTTCTTACACTGCGAATGAAGCCCAGTTGCTCCACGTCCATGTAGTCCTCATCGTTGTCCAGTTCATCCAAAAGTTCATCCAGTTCTGTTTCCCAATCAAACTCGCTGCCCAAGTCCAGTTCTTTTGAGGCGACAGCGTTGGCCTAAAATATTTTTAAATTTTAAACAATGTATAATCTTGTATACCTTGTAAAGACTTACCTTGGTAGTCAACACAAATGTGGCCGAAACCAAAACCAGGAGACAAAATGTTATGTTTTTCATTTTGGCTAAACAATTGACGAATACTTTTGCCCATCGATGTAGCTCCTATTTATATGAATCCCTAATCTTATCCGACAAAATTTCCACTTGATTCCTATATCTATGCAATGAGTTATCTGGGTTCTGAATTGATACTCTTCAAAATTAATACACATTCAAGAATGGAGATAACTAATTAAACCACTAAACTTCAGAATTATCACTAAATACTTTGAGGAAAATAAATAAAAGGGTTTTATATTTGCGATTAATTTATTAAGATAGATAACATTTACCTAAGTATTATTGTTTCTCAAAGTTAAAATCTTTAATATATAATATTGTTTAGATAAAGTATTTGATTGTTTATTATTTTAGTAAAGTTTTTTATTATTTTCGACAAACTTTAATATTGGAAAAGAAGGAGTTAAAGGACACCTTGACACTGCTGGTTGCATTCAAGAAACAGACATTTGTATCAGCAGGCAACTTTCCAATCAGTTTGAGGGTCTTATGGATCTTCTTGGTTAATTTTATGGTCGACCTAAATAGCTTCCAGAAGCATTTGAACGAGTTTTTAAGATGATGAAGGAAGGATTTGTCTTTGGCACAAAGCTTCGATCTCAAGTGAAGAATATCGTCGCAGATTTTTATGATCTGCTTCACAGAGTCGACAATTTTTTCCACATCCTTGGGAATCTCAGTTCCGCAGGATTCCACAGCATCCACAAAATTAGAACAGGAATAAAGAATATCAGCAACTCCTTTGAAAACGCACTTGGAGCCACGAACTGTTTTCAAAACCCTATGAAGTATGTGTATAATAGAACGAATCAAGCCATAATCCTCCACTTCCATTAAGTCATCTTCGTCGTCCATTTCATCCAGAAACTGATCTATCTCCAACTCATAATCAAGCTTAGAGTCAAGCTCATAGTCCAAGTCAACATCATTTGATGGATCAGATTCGGCCTAAGGCGAACAAATGCAAAATAAATAAAATGGTTTATTAAATTAATAAAATGGTTTCTAGTTCTTGCACCTACCTGTATGGCCAATAAACAAGTGGCCGAAACCAAAACAAGAAGCAAAAGAGTTATAGCTTTCATTGTACTGCACAGTAGACGAATATTAGGTAGCATTACTGCAGTATCGACTTATATACTCCCGGAAAAATACGCAGCAATTCAGGCTAATCTAATCTGAGCTAGTACCATTGTTTGCAGTTGGATAGGTCGGCTTAAAGGTACTTATTCTCTAAAGTACTTATATCATTTTACAGGAAATTATGCCAACAAACTCTTAAACTATTACAAAGTGAGGAAGTAATTCATAGATTTCAGGTGCCATTGGAAATTTAAGCTTATGAGATTTTCTAGGTAATTAAAAAAAAAACACTAAACAAACGAAGCTACGCTTGGAGGCATATTTAGTCCACTTACCAACACAAGAGTGACTAGGCTTAAGTAAATTTTTTCGTACATGGTAGATGAAGCTATATCTACCCCCAAGATTCCATTCCAAACACAATTAAATTAGTCAATTCCCTTGAATACTGGGCCATAAGGTGACACCAAAATTTCGCCTGGAAAAATCTCACATTTTCGTTGGCAATTATCGCACCATATCAAGAAAACCAACCGCAAAATCCACTTGGGCCCCCTGTACGAATTCGACGGCTCAGGACGAATTAAAAGCGATAAACCGCAGACAAAAAGGACCGCAATTGAATGGTCGCTGGGAAGAGATCCCCCGTTTCAGGATACAATAGATGACAAAAGGAAAAAATTTGTTGCCATTGTCAGCTTAACGCGCTTGCCGCACACTGTCTGTGTGTGGGTGTATTTGTGTGTGTGTGACACTCCGGGTAATAAATGGTAACGTGTGGTTAAGGGTTAATAACTCCCACCAAGGCAGCAGCAAAAAGAATACGAAATAAAAGCGAATGGACAGGGCCAAGACGTTTTATAGGAAACACAAAGGAAACTTGGCAGTTGGCACCCCGCGACAGCAAGTGTGGCTGCTAATGAAAAGTTCCGGGAATGTCTGTCGTAGTATCCTTTGCAAGTCGGTTGTCAATATACAGACATATATATCGGTGGGTGATTGGGTGGCTGGTTAATCATTGGGTTAGGTGGTGTCCTATCCACTCTCGTGGGGTGAAAGGGCCACATTGTGGGTGATAAAGTAAATGACGGCGTTGTTTGGGGTTTTATTTGGGTTGAATCCCCATCTTTAATTCGATTCAATGTAGCTGCTCTTTTATGTAAAGCTTTTTGCAGTAAATTTCCTTTACCAACGGAATAATTTTTATGGTGTGAAAATAGTGTAAACAAATTTATATAGAATTTAAGTAAAAACTTAATGAAAACTTAAAAACGCAGCCTTGATTAATTTAAATAAGTCTTGAGTCCACTTTTATATAAATAAAACTTCCCTTCCCTTGAGTGCCAAGTGCATCCTTCCTTACATCCTTCCTTAGGTTCCTCTTCACTTCCTTCCTCATTTCTCGCCGCTTACTGACTTTTTTCTGTCTCGGCTGCATCTGCACTTGGCATAAGTTAAACGTCGAGTAAATGTTGCTGACAACCATGATGATGCATCGCTGCCTGCATGCGACACTCTTTGCCGGGACAGGACAGGCTCTTAAAAATGCCTTGTCCTGTCCCATCTTGTGTCCTCCTTCCCCCAACCCATGGTCATGCAGTAAAAATTAAACCAATGACATGTCGGCAAAGTTTCTTCGGCACTAAGTAAGTTCCCACCCTTCGGGCATTAGACTAATATGAACTGATTTTACACCCAAAGAAGTTCCAGCCGAAAGTTGACAAGTGACAAGTCACATTGTTGTCCATTAAATTAATGAAATCATTCCGCAACTTCTACAGGTCATGGTCATGGCACAGGGCATCCATTGCTCTTCTTTGATCACGGGAAATTTGAAGTGTCTGTCCGGATTTGTGGCTCATAAATATTGAGAGCAACTCATCAGGAGCAGGCTACAGCTGCCGGTGAAGGGGGCGGCCCGACTGCAGTCAATTGTTGGTCATCAATCTTTCAAACAAATGCGGTTCAATGCCAGTGACAGCAGCAGCATAAATCCGAGGGATGGAACTTTAAATAAAAAGAAAAGAATGCCGAGAAAAGGGGCGGCTCTGAAAAGCTGGAAAAAGGGCAAAAACAGATATAGATGAGTCGCAAAAAATAAAATAGACTGGAATTTGCAAATACCCCCTTTATTCTGGGCATTGCCTGGCAGAAAGTGGTATTTATTTTTATAAATAGGAAAAGGATAAGTTGAGTACAATTGATTAATAAATACATATCATATTCACTTAAATTGTATATTATATATTGTATACGGTCAATATTTATAAATAAAACCTATTTTAATCTTCTTTAATTTGACTTTTCATTACAACTTAATATTTTAACTCACACCTGCCCACTCTGATGTCTCTTAATCTGTGTGGCGAGAGCTGAAGTTTTGTGTACATTTTCAAAACCTAAATGGCTCAGCCATCACAACAATTACTCATAATTTGTTGGCTGGGCTCCACACTGTGGACCTATTTAATTCCATCTCAGCCACCGCCCACTGCCGAAACCACCCCACACACCCCCCTAAACTGTTCTGACGGATGCCCTGGAAAGTGTGCTATGCATTTTGGCCGCTGATGTTTGCTTCTGTTGCTTCTGTTGTTTGCTCACTCATGTGCATAAAGTCACAGTTTTTCACAATTTCGGAGCTTGTGGAGAGAGCTGTGTTCTCTGTGTACTTTTTCATGTGGCTGACTTTTGTGAAAATTAATAAGTTTGCAGCCCCTCGCCAATCTGCCAATGCCAAGCGAAAGTTCTGCACTTGATGGCCAAATAATTTGTCGTTCTTATTGTGTGTGCGGGCGAGTGTGTGTGTGGCGTTATTTCCAAATCGTTAAGTCTTAAATAAACTCACTTTAGGAGACTTTATATTTTTGCTCTTTTCTTTCTCATTTTCGATTTGGGTAGATTTATTATGTATGCCAAATGGCACAACCGTCTTGAGTGGCGGCTGACATTTTCGGTTGGCTGCAAATATTCCACTTTTCTTGGAGTAAGTCGTGCATGCATTCTTAAAATTGAAAACCAATTCTTATTTTATGTTATTTATTAATAGGGCCTCTTTTTTATACCCTGTCAGAGGGTATTATAATTTTCGTCAAAAGTGTGCAACGCACACTGTCAGTCTGTCTGTCGAACTATTTTGTTTCTAGCCAAACTAGTCTTTCAGTTTTGAAGCTTTCGATTAAAGGTTTTCGGAAGTTCATCCACTCCATCCATATCCAGGACGATAATATTGATTATTATTATAAGGTGATTGAAACGTTTTTAAATCGTAAAATATCTCCACATTGAACTTAAATCCGCGGGTGTTTCTAGATGTAACCGTGTACACTGTTTGTCGGAAAGGCGGTTCTCCTTTCATCCAAATCCAAGCACCATTTTTCCAGACATCCCAAAACCTAATGGCGTTAATTACAAAATCAAACTTGACAGTTTCCGTATGAGTAACTGTTTGAAATAAACGGTACTCCGCTTGAATAACCTTTCTGTATATGGTATCAAATGGTTTTGGCCAACCCCTCGTTTGGCTCATATCCTGTCCGTATGATTTACAAAACAGTTGAAAATCAACAAGAATAAACAACAAGATCCAATGTGGCCGTAACTCTATCATTATGGAACTACTGTAAATATTAAATAAATTCTTAATCAGCTAACTAAATCTAATCTAAACTCAACAAATCAAATCATTTGCAATTTAATAAGCTAAGGATTAGTTCCAATTATCTAACTAAAGTTTATATACATTACTTACTGTTCTATCAACTTTACTTTACTTTACAATCTCATGGTGGAAAATCGATTCAGAAATCGTTTACGGTACTCCGCTTCAGAATCGAATGAGAATTGGGGAAGATATCACCATCGTTCATCACCTACATAGGGGAAAACCTCATTTTCAAGGGATCCCATCACGAAAAATGGACAAAAAATCTAAAAAATACTTTGTCACCGGATTTTGATGCAGAATGGTGGAGAATCGATTCAGAAATCGTTTAAGGTACTCCGCTTGAGAATCGGGTGAGAATTGGGGAAGATATCGCCATCGTTGTGGGCTATATAGGGGAAAACCCCATTTTCAGGGGATCTCATCACGAAAAATGGACAAAAAATCTAAAAAATATTTTGTGTCAGGATTTAGATGCAGAGTGGTGGAGAATCGACCCCGAAACCGTTTAAGGTAGTCCGCTTGAGAATCGGATGAGAATTGGGTAAGATATCGCCATCGTTGTGGGCTATATAGGGGAAAACCCCATTTTCAAGGGAAGCCAGCACGAAAAATGGACAAAAAATCTAAAAAATATTTTGTCACCGGATTTTGATGCAGAATGGTGGAGAATCGATTCAGAAACCGTTTAAGGTAGTCCGCTTGAGAATCGGATGAGAATTGGGTAAGATATCGCCATCGTTGTGGGCTATATAGGGGAAAACCCCATTTTCAAGGGAAGCCATCACGAAAAATGGACAAAAAATCTAAAAAATATTTTGTCACCGGATTTTGATGCAGAATGGTGGAGAATCGATTCAGAAATCGTTTAAGGTACTCCGTTTGAGAATCGGATGAGAATTGGGGAAAATATCACCATCATTGTGGGCTATATAGGGGAAAACCCCATTTTCAGGGGATCTCATCACGAAAAATGGACAAAAAATCTAAAAAATATTTTGTCTCAGGATTTAGATGTGGTGGAGAATCGACCCCGAAACCGTTTAAGGTAGTCCGCTTGAGAATCGGATGAGAATTGGGTAAGATATCGCCATCGTTGTGGGCTATATAGGGGAAAACCCCATTTTCAAGGGAACCCATCACGAAAAATGGACAAAAAATCTAAAAAATATGTTGTCACCGGATTTTGATGCAGAATGGTGGAGAATCGATTCAGAAATCGTGTAAGGTACTCCGCATGAGAATCGGATGAGAATTGTGGAAGATATCGCCATCGTTGTGGGCCATATAGGGGACTATATCCTATAGCTGCTATATAACTGAACTATCGGAAATGACCCTCCT